AATTAAATCCCTCGAGAATGTCCCTCGTCTGTGCTTCCGGCTCTGTCCTCCAAAACAGGCTCGCTGTAGGCTTTTGGGAATGATCCCAAACTGTGCCTGAACATAGTTTTGGAGAATGTTAGTTGGTGCAGAGCAAGAGTGTGCCAGGAACAGCTTTAAGGCGTTCACTAGTGTGGGGGATCATATTGTTGTGCCCAGGAATGCTCTGGCCACTGCTAAATTTTACAGCCTTAGAGACTGAAAGACCAGAAGCCTATTTGTCAATCAGTCTCTCAGAGTTTTGCTTTTAAGTGTTTCCATAAAATATATTGACATTTGCATCTTGTTAGCATCTTGTGATGGTGTAAGAAGCATTTTTTTAGAACTTCTTATTTAGTGCAGATTATATGGGAGCAAATCTTAAGTCTTGTAACCTGCTTGGAAAAGCAGACGAGAGGCTGAATAAAATGGCAAGTATGGCAAGCATGGAGGGAGCAGCACCCATACCCAAGCATTTACAACACCAGTTTTAGTCCCCTTCACATATTGGGATATTGGAGATGTGACAGTAAGTGTCAGTTAGCTCCTAGTGGTCATTTCCTTGTGATTACCCATCGCAGTGCATCTATGTTTGTACCTAATTGTACGAGAACTGCTGAAGAGCAGGCATCTTTACTGCAACATCACTTCCTCCCCTTCTCCCCACTCAGTGTAACAACCATTTATAGTCCCAAACGTTTCTTGTGAAGGCTGGGGCAAACGTATGTTGGCCCAAAATATTGGCCAATAAATTGTTTTCTTCTGTACTCCCAGTAGTTGAATGCTGAAAGTGTAGTTTGCACCTTCCTCTGTTTTTATTATAATCCCTAGAATAAACTAAAATTCTAGTTTTCATTTAAATAAATTTCTTTATGGAAGGTGAATATTAACATTTTAAAAACCTGTATTTTTGTTAGTCTACATATAAGTATTTTCATGCATCTCATATCTGAAGTCTATAAAGTTGTAAATAAACTGTACTCTGGCTTCATTTCTACAAAGCAAATTGTACCTGACAGCCTATAGAATTATAATTTCAATGTGTTTAGGAAGCTGTTTTCAGTAGAGGACATTTCAAGATTTCTTTAAAGCACATGATAATACCGAATCTCACTATAGTGGAGTGACTGAAGATTTTTAAAATTGCTTTTATTGGAAATTATCATATATATGTATATACACACACACACAGAGGATTTCTTTATGTCTTGCACTTACGGACTCAGCACCTAATAAATCTCTGGAATAATAAGTTAACATATTTTTTCCATATATTCTTGAGGATTTCTATGTCTGTCCGTTTTACTTGCCTTTTGTAAGCTTTTAGTATCAAATTGCACAGAAACAATATTTTAAAATAAATTAAAATGCTTCTTATGAGAAATGAATGACAGTATCCATTTACTTAATCCTAGGCGGCCTTGTCATTGTAGATGCCTAAAAACATCCCACCTGGCCTCTGGGTGCCATTCCAGAAGGGCACAGGTTTTTCTATAGTTGTGTGACGTATCAGCGAGCCCCGTGCCGATGGCTTAAAACTCTGATATATCTGAGATGACACTAGGCACCCATGTTTGGGCAACTGAATCGATCCTGAAGTGACTATTGTATTAGGGTCTCCTCTGCAAAAAGGTACCACCAAGGCAGTGAAGAGTCACATTGCATTGGGTTTGTAATTGTTAAGCAGGTTGTCAGCAATCAGGAAAATTGCTCTCAGTGTGTTTTTTTGCCTAACTTTCCCACTCTGGACCTTGACCACCTTCTGTCCTGTTTGTCTGGTGTTCCTGTTCTTCCTCATTATTAGAGCAGGCACCCTTGGTGCATATGCTGGAGCCCATAGAGGAGCTTTCAGAAGAGGAAAAAGGTAATGATTGATTCAGCTCAAAATGTAGTGGCATGTGTTGTTGTTTTTTTAAATAAAAATGTAAATATTATTTGATACCTACAGTATTTTTTCATTGTATTTGAGTATGCTCATGTGATTTGGGTGGGAACATTCCTTGTTTGTGTCAGTCTCCTGTTTGCTATTGGTGGTTGTATATATTACGATTTCCTTATCCAAGTTCAATGTTTTTTATGGGAAGCTGGCTAACTCTTTAAAGCAGGCATATTCCATATGCCTAAAGGCACTTGAGCTAAGCAGAGCGAAAATGTTTGATGGGGAATACCCCCTTACTAGGAAATTTCTGGTGCTGACGCTATTGCAACGTATGCTTGTTTTTCGAACTCTGCATGAGAAGGTAAAGAGTTCAGATAGAAGGAGGAAGTTGGTGGTGGAGGTTGAAGCTGCCTAATTTCATAGATGTACCAAAGATATTTTTTGCAAGTTATCTAAGTTACGCCTACCTCTAAGTGGCCGCAACTCCAGCCAGGGTTGTGCAATTCTGAATGAAATTACATAGCCCAGTGTTGGCAGCTGTTCTTCTGCTTCATCTGAGGAGAACTTGGAGAAGGCCATATTTACGGTGACAGAAGAGAAAGTGTTGGTTCATCCTGCATGGTATTCTTCTCCTGAAGAAGGCTAACAGTACTTCAGATGAGACACCAAATAGCTGAATAGCATAATAATCTGTACAAAAATCAAAATCAGTCTGGATCCTTATAGCCAATGAGTTTAAATTTTGAAGGAATGATGCTGTTTCGAAAACAAAATTGTCGTTTGAATACATCTGTGTGTAAGTGAGAGGTTTTCCCAGGGAAAATCCAGCGACTCTGAACAACCTGAAATAAAGACTGCTCGCATTTTTGCCGTTCTTTCTGCTATTTCTCTTGTTTGCCATCTTCTCTCTTGATGGATTGTCTTTGATTCTTCTGCTGTGCCTAAAGGCATGGCCTGCAGTACAAAAGAGAGAAAGAAAGAATGCAGTCTGAAAAGATAGACCGAGATTTTTTTGTTTTCAGTGACAGCCATTTGTAAGGGAGAGTGTGAAAATTCTTGACTTGGCAGATTATTTCATAGGATTATGTAGGAGCTGAGACAGTGGACCAGACTTAAGGTCCAAAGTCTCCAAAGTTGTCAAATCTAATATTTAGGGTTTTTTTAAAGAACAAAAATTAATAAGAAAACTGTTCCTTAAATAGTTGGCTCCAGCAAAGAGGATTTGGCTCAAGTTAATTAGCAAGAATTAATATTGTCATTAATTAGGATAATGCTGGATAGTCTTGTTACCCATATTAGTATGTAGTAATTATGAATTTTAAAACGATTTCAGATGGATCTATTTTATTCAGATTTATTATTATTCAGATTAACATCTGAAAGGGACAGGATTTTCAGAAGGCTCCTTGGAGCCTTCCGCTTTAAAATGCCTCATGTCTGGCTTTGTGGGAAGATTTCATACTGCATAATGCACCTTTTCCTGATTGGGGATGGTCTGACAGCCCTGTGTTTCTGCACCAACCAGTGGTTTGCCTCTTCTAGGACTCGGCTCTCCAGCCAAATCACTTTTAATCCCACCTCTGTCAGGGACTGAGGTGTCCACACAGTTCCCAAAGCCAAAGATTTCAAATCTCCCAAAGTTAAGATTTCAGCCAGATTCTGTTCTCTTCAACACAGATCTCTTAGGATGGTAGCTGGACAATTTTTCAGTTTTCGTTACCTATAATTCTTTCCCAGATCCGTCAGAAGCCACTGCCTCAAAACAACCTAAATATCATTTGTGTATCTGGAGGCTTTTTTCGGTCCTTTTCAGGGGGCTTATCTTTTCCTTAAAAAAAAATGAAAACGAAATGGAACTGCTTTTTAAGCAATCATTGTTTAAAAATTGGAAAAGTGGCACATTTGTTTTGAAAGAAAACATTTGCAAGTCGCAATATGGAATTATTCCTTCATTTGTGTCCTTGTCTGTGGGCTGGCAAAGGACTCCGCTGCCCTGTAAGGCATACTGGAAAGAGACCATCTCCTGCCCAAGATTTACCTTTTATTTCAGGGGGTGAAGTTGGGAGTGTGGTTTACAGCCTGCTTTCCTGGGATGCTGTATACCCCTCTGTGTATGCTTTGCCAGCTTTGCTGACCACTGCCAGACAGAAGGAGCTCCCGTGGTCCCACTGATTAGTGGTTCACTTGGCCTGAGTGGCATTCAGTAAAACTTTGTCTTGCCAGAGACACTTTACAGGCAGGTTCCAAATGGGTGTGTTTTGCTTCTTTACTCACCCTTATGACCCTACAATACTTTGGCCTAACTTAAATGTCAATCTTTAATTTAGATGGAAGAATCTGTCTAGATGATTCTTTATTTCTTGCATAAGAGTTCATGTCATTACTGACACTTAAAGCAAGGGAAAGA